GTACCTGTTGTTGTAGGGTCGTGTCCATTTTTTCTAGGATACTTGAAGTCGGGTCCAGGTACGATCGTGAACTGTGAATGATCGAGATGCTTGTCGCAAAAAAGAAACAAAAACTTCCAGCTTGAGTGACGTCGGTGGGTTGAAACAACATGCGAAACACACTCGGGTCATCTGGTTGTATTCAATACTCTCCAGCAATCTCCTGGGAAAGTGGCTGGGGTGGGTTCTAGGGGAGTCTAACATGGTCTATATAACTACCTTCTGAGGAGGTGGAGCCCTTTTTCGGCAACAATGTCTTCGCATTTCGGGCTCACCCTGGGCTGCCATGGCAGGACACGAACGAAGAGAGAATGTTAGCATCGGGCAGAAATGACTCACAAACGGCGGGTTTTTCACCTGAAGAGAATGCCGGACCGACCGGTTTGCGAAATCCGCTAAATGGACCGGACCGAGCGTTTTCTTCGAGGCAACAGGTGGCAGCAGGGTCCGTTTTTCGTTCTGTTCAGCTCCCGCTCGGCTCTGCCACACGGGAGCGACAGCGCGGTGATGAGACACCTCGTTTTCAGGGCTTCTCCTTTGACAGGTGTTGACCTCCCAAGACAGGCTTTGACGATTTCAAGAGAGAAGACAGGTCAACTGACCTTTGACCTGCCCTGGCAGAAGTTGACCTCCTCCCCACTCTTGACATCCCATCGACTGTACCCGATGCACCGCACCGGCGCCGCGCGTGGACACGCGCGAACACTCGCGCGCCCGGAGGTTGACGATGCGGTCGCCATCGAAGTCGAGCCCGTCAAAGGTGAGGATCGGAGTGGGCGCGCTAGCCTAGCGCTCGGAGAGAGCGCATGGCGGGGGATGAGGGATGGAACTAGTAAATGGTTGAAGAAGGATCTGGAAGAGAATCTTCATTGAAGGCCCGACTGGGGTGTCGTTCATCTCGCTCAGTTGTGAACCTTCCTGACAAAGAGCCAGGGGTCTTCGGGCCAGGGCACCCTGTGTCCTTTTTGGAAACACCGAAAGGTCATCGATGACAAGGACCCATGGACGTCCATGGACCGTTGGTGGTTTCAACTCGCTTGACAAGCTCAGTAGTCAGTGGGTTCTTCCTCATCCCCACAGTGAAGGTTGAACAGCAAAACGGCTGAAACCACCACCCAGTCAGTTGGGTGTTCTTCACTGGACACTCGCAAAATGGATCAACCAACCACTCCAGCCGAAGGTCAGGTCGACAGGTTTGAAACCGGTCGCAAGGCCTCGGCGGTCCTCGTGAGTGATCAAGGCCTCTGACAGGTCACCCATTTGAGAGCTCCAGTCTTAGGGCCCACCCTCGCAAGACCTTACCCTCGCAAGAACCAGCAGAGGTTAAAGAACCCTATAGACCATCCCATCGGTACACCAGTAGGTTCCCATTTACGGTCACTGTCCACCTCTGTAGGTCCCCCCAAACCGCCGAAACAACTTAACCTCTGTAGGAATGCCAGTTACCATGGGTCGTCCCATGGGTCGTTGCGCTCCTCGACGCCTCCCCCCGTTCGACGCTCCGCACGCGGACGGCCTTCGCCTCGCTCCGCTCGATCCTCTCTTCGCCTCTCAGCTCCGAGAGGACGCCTCGGTGAGCCGAACGGATGGAAATGGGTGGAGGGGTGGATGGATGGAGAAAAGGAGAGCCATCCGAAGTGCCTTTAGCTATAGGGGAGAGCACTTGAACACGACCTGAACACTGAGAAGTGTTCAGGTGTTCCTGGGAACTCACGACCTGAGCATCGGATCTGAGCTGATGTGTCGGAGTTTCAAAGTGTCAGGATCTGTCGGGTCGACCTACTTGGGTGTGGTTTTGAACGGTCCGGTCGGGTGGAGGAAGGTCACTCGGGTCTTCGGACTCCGGATCCGGCGCGAGCGACTGTTCTTTTCGGTCCGGTGGAGCCCCTCTCCAAGGAGTTTGGGTCAATATTCTCATGGGTTGTTGGGTCATAACTATTGCAAGAAAGGTTTGGCAGGTCCCCAAAATCCCTGGGTAGGCTGTTTGTTGGCCTGCAAAGTCCCTAGTCACCCTAGGCCCTAGTCCTCGGTCTTCGTCGCATCTTCTGCGCTGCGCAGCGTTGTTCTCACACCTTTTCCCATTTGGTCGAGTGCTGGGAGAGAAAACTGCTTCATAGACCAGAGGTGTTCATATACAAAAACAATGATCTTTTTGCTAGGGAAAACCATGCAGGTCTTTCATGGTTTGTGGGGCCGCTGGTGGTCATAGTCATGCTTTCATGCGGCCTCCAAGTGAAATTTTCCCTGAAAAAAACTGTACGGATCTCTCCACTGCCACGACCAACGGGACTCCTGTCTACTGTACCCATTTGCTCAATTGGTCATCACTTTTCGTCATCACTTCTTGCGCTTCTTGCTCTTCTCCTGAGCCACTGGGGTCTATAGGCCGGGCATGGCCGGGGGGTGAATGCGTGGAAGACCAAAAGACCGAACATGCGGTGAATGCGTGGACTTCCCTGGTTGGGAAGCACACCGAACTTCTTCCAGTCGTCCTGGTGAGGTCACCGATCTTTTTGGGATGCCTGGTAGATGCTGTGCCTGGGATCCACTGGGTACACTGCCTGGAAACGCATCATAGCAGAACTGACCCCCTGAACAATCGGGTCTGACCCCTTTTCGAGAACGGACCAGTCCCAGGTGCTGGTGCCATCCACTTCCGATTACTTCGGGGAGCGAAAGTTGAAAATGAACAGGAAAATCACGGCAGGTCCTTGCCCACCGCTGTCTAAAGAACACAGCACGACTGCATGTGTACCTTCGCGGCCCGGCCGACTGACTGAAGCAGGATTGAAAAGGACCTCTGCCGGTTCAACTAGTTGGGTACCCAACTGGAACTGAAGCTCTCTTGGTCAGGTGCTGCTGGCGTGCCGGTGCTGGGTGCTGTGAGCTGGCTGTGGGCGTGGTGGAAACAGGCTGCCTGGCTGTGCCGGGTTTTTTCTGGTGTTCTGTTGAAAGACCAAAGAAATGCCAAAGAGCTCGGGCTCTGTCATGAGCAGTTCTTCAACGACAAGAACTTGATGGGTATAGGTTCCGAGTGAGGTCGTGTTCCAATCTTTCTCAGCAAGTATATCGGTCCTTCCACGTCTACGTGGTCTCCGCAAGCAACTGCTCCCCCAGCTATATTCGAATACGGATTTTTCTGGCCATCCCTGGGGCTATCCCCCTGACCATCGCCTTCTTCTTCTTTTTCTTCTCCTCCAAAAAAGCAACTGACGCCCTCACACTCACCCCAAACGGGCGTAACAGCGACATGATGAGACACTGGCGCGGTGTTTTTCTGGACGTGTTTAAATGAGTCTGGCAGCCATATATGGGGATACTGACCCGTTCAAGGCGCAGGCAAGAAGTGCTACACAATCAGAGAACCACGCCAGTTTGTGTAAACAGCATCCATGATCAAAGCAGGACGTACTGACACTGACACGCAGGACAACTTGTGCGGCGCTGCTGCCAGCATTCGAGACCTAGACATGCACCCGAAAAGAATCCATGATGCAATATGACCGTGTCTCCTTCTTGTCCTTTTTCTTCTTCTTCGAGGACTTCTTCCTCACGGCCCAGCGGACCCAATTTGCGTCCAACAGATGGAGCTCAAAAGAACAATCTCTTGAATGTGTCAGACCATCTTCCCCTTCCCACATTCCATGTATAACCACCCCAAAGTAGGTAAATATGCCAGTCAAATGGAGTGGTTGGGCACCAAATCGCCAGCGCATCCTCCTCTTGATCTCGAATCATGATTCATACATCGACCAAGGCTTGACAAGCTCAGCAGAGGCTCAAGAACCGATGGTTTGTTGAGGTTGAGGACGGAAGAAAAAAACAGAACGAACTCCTATAGCAGTACCCTTCCTGCCAACTCGCTTTTTCGGCTTAGGGCTTGGGGTTTGGACCCTCAGTCGACCGACCTCTGACCCGAAACCGTCGGGGTGCGACCGTGACCGAGAACCGTGACTTCCTGGCGACCGTGACGAAGTGACTTCAGTGCCTCCGAGTCACATGGTTTGGACAAGAAAAAAGGGCACAAACAGACCTGGACCTTCTGAATCGGGGTGTCCTGGCTGGAGGTCCCTCATTAGTGGTGGGCTGGGGCGAAACCAGCCAGGTGACCCCGACATGAAGGTGCTGGTATCGACCAGGAGTCACATGTCGTCACATGGAGGCCAGGGTGGTGTGGTGTTTAGTCCCTTCCTTCGGGGCCGCGGATAGATACATACCCCTAACCTCCGCACCCCGTCTTGTGACTGCTGGTACAGGTTTCAAGGACAGGCCCAGAGGTTAACAAGCTCATCTTCCTTTTGAAATGACGATATCTCTCCAACATAAAGACATGAATACATTGAACCATGATGCTGCTACCGAACACACAGAGGGGGGCCCCTCTGACCACCTCAGAGACCTTCCCTGGGTTCCCGAAGTTTTCCACCTGTTGGACTCTTTGAAATGAGTTCGGTGTCACCCAATTCCTCACCTCACCTCCGCCCTTCCTGCCAGACACTGGTCCAGACACTGGACCAGACACTGCAGAGCTTGGGAGCAAAATCCAGGTCTGTTGATGTCATTTGGCTCCGATGTTCCGGATCCAACAGACCTTGCTCTACCAGTCTACCACCCTCCACGCTCTCCGCGACCGGCGAGAAACGCTCTCCGGGACGGGGAGACGGGGAACCGCACGTCGGATCAAGACCCGAAGACGGCGCTCCAAGGGTCTGAGCACCTCCCTGAAATCATCCCAGGCCCTAGGGATCCACTGCCACACTGCCACCCTCCTGTACGAGCAGGGAGACCCCTACATCATGATGTAGTCTTGAAGGTTCCAAACACCTTCCAAACGAGCGTCGAATGCTCCGGTGCCTCGATCGAAGTGCATGGCACCACCACCCCCGATGACACCTGGTCAAACCCGAATCTAGAGGTTCCGATGCCAGGCCCTTGCGTGCTATCCACGTCATGGGATTCTTTCAGGGAGTGTCCCGGGGTTCGGTCGTTGCCTGGGCCGCCGACCGAAAGGTTCGCGACGGCGGACGGCCGCGGTTCGTCGGTTCGGCGAACTGAAGAAGCTCGTATGGGCCAGATGGCCAGATGGCCAGATTCACACTACAGTTTTCCCAACATCTCCACGGTTTTTCCCCAACATCTTCATGCATCTGCTTCTTTTGTCTGCTTACATCTCCCAACATCTCCAGTGCTTGAAAACCCCCGCACACTTCTCGCAGCTTTTTTGGCTCCACGGCCGGAGAGACCATCTTCTCAGCCTGGTCGCCGTCCGCTCGGGACGGATGCCACGAAGCAAGAATCCATCACCCAGACGCTCCATGTATGCCATATGCCATATAAATATGCCGATCAATTGGGGGCTGATCAGTTGGGGTGGTGCCAGGGGGGTCAATGTGCGCATATATTCCAGTCCCATGGAGTGTATGGATAATGGCAGGGATTGCGGAGGCAACATGAGCCCGACCTCTTTCAACGGTCGACTCCCTCTACAAGAGGGGGTTTGGTTTTGGGATGCCCCTGAACCAACAAAACGAAAAAGCTGGTTCTTGGAGGGTCTGAGGGTCCTGATCAAGGGTGCGATCTCCGCTTCGGAAGCTCTGAGGGTCGTTCCAAACTGCTTGCCCTCCTCGCTCTCTGAGCAGCTTCGGCGCTAACCACGCTGGGGGGTCGAAGTGGAGCTCCACACCCATTGGGGTGGTTTTTCATAGATCCACGAGTAGGTTGGGGCAGTGCAGCCAGGAGACCTGGAAGTCAAGGAAGAAACTCTTCCGGGTAGGGAGCTCAAATCCTCAACATGGTCCCTTTTTGACCTTCAAGGGTCCTTGATGTCCTTGATGTGCGTGCGTTCAGCGCGTCTTCGTGAGGGGAACAGCATGGAACAGGCTCTTCAGTTGTAAGACCCGAAAGGGACTTCTCTGACTCCTCAGCTTCTCTTCGGTCAATCCCAGCTTCTCGGACAACCGGTGAGAAGTGAGTCAACAGATCGGTCAGAGGTCAGAAGATCGGTCACCGGTCGCTGGCCCTCTTGAGCGGTCGCAAGGGTTCTTCAGTTCCATGGTCTTCAGTGTCTTCAAAAGGGCTTCTCCACCGGCCTCCAGCAAGTTTCGCGGATCCTCGCCCTGCAACTCCTGCCGCAAAAAAACGATCAGTGCCGCGGAGACTGATCGTTCCGAAGTCTGGATATGAAACATGTCGCTGAGTGGGTATGAAAGGCATATTGATTGTCAAGAACCTCCAAACAGGAAGCAAATTCAATGATTTAAAATATAGAAACACTGTAAATGAGAAGAATCATATTGTTCGACGACGCATGTACAATCAAATACACTCCAAATAAAAGAGGGGGGGCCCTCCAAGAGACAGGCTTTGCTGGTCCAGACCCCGTGGTGAGTTTGTGACTGCCGGTGGACCGCGGTGGCCGGCAGAAGAAGCTGCCCCTCCCCATCCTTCAAAAATGGAACAAAAGAACACAAACATGATGGAAGGGTTTTCAGAAAATCGCAGACCTTCCACTTCGAGAAACCAACTCAACCCGCGCAACCACAAACATGGGGTCTGCCCGTCCACCGGCCAGTTCGGCAGCTCCTGCAGCTGCAACTCCAACTTTCGAACCTGCAGGCGTGCTAAGGCGGGCTAAGGCAGGAATGCTTGGAGGACCAGTCGTGTGTAACGACCGGCCCAGTCGACCCGTCCGACCTGTTCCAGAACGGCAAACCCCTCGGCCCAAGGAGTAATGGAAAACAAGGAGGATATACCTCAAGGAGTAAAAAGTGCAGCAAACATCCAGACATGCCCTTTGGATCCACATACCGAACCTGAGAAGGTGATTGGAGACTATTTATGTAGGCTTGGAGGGTCCAATTACCTTCTGTGAAGGTGGCATTGAAACAGCATCAAGAAGACGTGAAAGAATGGATGACCAACACTCCCCCGCGGAGACAACGGCATGTCCTACCAGTTTCTGCCGTTGATCGACATATCACACTTGCCCTTCCCGGCCACGAGATTCTCCCAAAGAGTTCGATACTCTAGGAAGAAGTTCGTATAGATCGTTCAAGTTCATGTTCGTACTTTGACAAAGAACTACTTACTCCCGAAAAATGAAATACCACTGACCTGCTGGTGAACATCAACGAATTTCACCGTCGGCCCGAACCTGAAGCTGCAAACACCCCTAGTTAGGATGTAGGCCGCTGTAGGCCCTTAAATACTAAGTGGTATATCAACTCCCATCCCAACCGAGCCCTTGAAAATCACTCAGTGTTTCGTCAGTTTAGGGTGTAGCCCATTACCAATAACAATATCACTATTTTTGAGAAAGGCCTTTACTAACTACTATCCATATAGGATATACCCGACGTCAGTTGACCCATGCACTTGTCATTATAATCGACTTGGTAGCACCCCCCCACCCCACCGACCTCCTCTTCCAGCGTGGCTTTTTGCGCCTGTAGTTTGGCCTGGCCATCAACAGACTCGCAGAGATGGTTTCCATGCCACTCTGGAACGACCCACTCTAAATTGTCCATTTCATCGTTTCAGATGGGCTGCGCAGGGTGCCTGGTTGATCTTGTTTCGTGGGAGCAGGGGTGTCAGGAGTTCAGACGTTGCCCTGGCCACCTTTGCACCAGTGAGTGTAGTTGACCTCCGTTGCCGGCTTCGCCCGGATCGATCCCGCTCGCCGCCAAGCCGACGGTGACCGTCGGCGATCGGCGATCGGGAGATTTGGGTCGAGGACATCGGTTCATGGGATTTCAAGAGGTGGCCATTTTGGGTTTAAACATCTTTAAACCCTATAGGGCTCCTGGCCCACCTATAGGACATCGGTTCGGTGGGCCAGGGGATCGAAGACCACCGGTCACCGGGTCGGATATGGGACGAGCGGAGCCCTGGGATCCCTTCCATCAAGGAGACGATCCAGATGCGACTCGACCTGTTCAGCAGATTCTTCACACAAGGAGACGATGCCCGGCCCATTCTTCTCTGCACTTGTTGCCACCTCTTGCCACCTGTAGCACCTGAATTTTTGCATGTACCATCTGTGCAGGCCCTTCGCGAGCCGAAGCTTCTCCTGAAACCAAGGGCTGTGGGTCATGTCACCTTGGGTATTACCTGGTTACCAGTACCTTGACCGTCCCCGGTGTCGGTCGGGTGTTCGCTACGTGGATTGGTCCGGGTTTCACCAGGTGGAAGCACCAAACCACCCATCCCCCGAAGCACCCATCCCTCCAAAGCCCATCCCACATCGCCTGCTTGTTTCGCAACTCCGTGCGCCTCCGACTCGGTCGATCAGAACGGGTCCGCGTTTCTCGATTGGATTCGGGGTTTCGGATGGGATCGGAGGATGGAAAAGTGCTGAAGTGGCTCCAAACTCGTGGTGCGATCTTCCGACTATGCAGAAGTTCTGCCGAGCGCCAAGCTGGTGTGGATTAAGAAGCGATGAAACACCATGATGTCTGATTCAGCCAAATCATTCCCCTACAAATCCAACCACCATTGACATTAATTACAATAATCCTGAATCCCCAAAAACCGCTGTTTTGCGAAGAATGTCACACTGCAAAACTATAGGCCGGCCTTTCTTTGAATGGTCGAAACGGAAAGCGAACGAGCGGCTATCCAGGGATTCGGCCATTTCCGAACGGATCAGTCTGACGGGTCTCTCCCCCCCGTCCCGTCGGCCTCATGGAAACCGCGGCTTCCTCGGGCGGCCCCTCCTGGGACGAGTCTGCGCGGGACCGCCGCTGCGCGCGCTTTGTCTGCATCCAATATGTGAGAAGAAGAAGATGGAATTTAAGACGGGATGATTTTGAAAACAAACTAACACACAAAACAGGTTCAGGCTCAGGTTGACCAAATCAAAAGAAACCATGATGAGAGCGACAACAAAACTCTAAGCCAGTGTTTTCGACAGTGCCGAGTGTTCTGCTCACCACGTGGCGTGGGGTGGCTCCTCATCGAGCTCCTCATTCTCATCGAGCAGGGCGAGTGGCTCCTCCACATGCTCTTGGGTCTCTGGCTCTTGGAGATCCTGGAGATGCTGAAAAAGCCGGAGCCGCGTCGCAAAAGGAGCGGCGTCACGATCAGGTGAATCCCCCAGTCCACTCCGACCGGCATCTTGACCAATCAGCCCAGCGGTTTGGGAGCAATATACGGATATACGACTGTATAGATACTAGTATATGCCAGTCCAGTCATGTCATCAGCAGACGTGAGCTCTTGAAACCGGACTCCGGCCCTTCGAACTGGACCGGTTTCAAACGCTTTGGGACCCACCCCGGACACCTCTCGAGGTCCGGACCTCCGGCGTTTTGGGCCGCGCCCCGGTGGCGGTGGCTGCGGTGGAACTCCCTCCCTCCGTCCTGGACCGTGAGCGGCTCCAAAGTGCCCAGGTGCTCGGAAGAGCTTTGGTGTTCTTCCAGCTGCTTCCTTGGTGCGGTCTGAAGAGGACCTAAGGGTCTTGCTTCCTTGGTGCTTCCGAAGCTTCCCCCGCTCTGTCGATGCTCCATCGTCATCGCGGGTCTTGCAGGTTGGAGCGATCTGGGGTCGATCTGTGGTCGTTGCTGGATGGATCGTTGGGCAGGATGACACTGTCCTGTGGAGAGGGACACCCGATCCCCTAAACATGTTCGTACCCCAGAAAATTAATGAAAATGGGACATGACCCGAACACAAAACAGGTACGACTTTTGACCCAATATCTGAGGTACATGGAACCAGGTCGACTCCAGGTACGTCTTGTGTGCAAAGGCTCAAAGTAAACAAGTTGGTTCTCGGGAAAATCGTGCTCCCTGCCCGAGGCCAATTCTTCACATTGGCAGCTCACATCTTCTGTTACATATACCATGTTTTGACGGTTGCTCATGTATTTAATATGTCTTAAAGCACGGTTTTTTTTAAAAGGACAAATACCACTTCAAGCGCGTGGTCACAGGAGTGATGGAGAGGAAGAGTCCAGTCGAAATCGCTCAAGCCAAAGCTTTCGTGGTCCGGTTTTGAGGACTTTTCCATATTTTTGGAGCCACCAACCAGCATCCTGTCTGGGTGTCCTGGCTGGACTACCCCACAGCTATCCGAGATGTCCAGACAGGAACCCAGACACAATATGGTCCAGGAAGAAGTAGAGCTACGCCCCTTGGAAGCCGAACTATTCCAGCCCACAAAACAGCGCAGACTGCAGGGGAAGAAGGGAAAGACCCTGCTGTTGCTGTCTTTCCGCGTGAACCGCGACCCCGAAGGAATCCTGGGGTTGGATGAGGAATTGATGAAGGTGATCATGGTGAGGTGTTTTGCTGCTGAAGAACGAATGATTTTTTAAAAAAATAGCTCTCAACCAGCCAAGAGAATCTAAGAGACTTAAAAGTGTCAGATGGTGACCTGTTCACTTGCCCCAGCCGACTTCATTCTCCGGCTTGCCCACTGGATCTCACATCAACAAAATTAGGTACAGTATATAGGTATATGACATTGTGTTCAATCCCTTCTCCAAAAATTTGCCACAATTACAACCCCGAAATGAAGCTGTCAGCCCTAAACCCGGCCTTTCAAGGCTGTCTCCGCTTGGAATTGGTGGTTGACGTCGGTGTGAAACACCTCGTGGGGTTTTCCCGTGTACCAAAGAACCCTCAGGCCAGCATCTCATCATCTTCCAGGCCTTCCAGGCCTTCCAGGCCAAGGCTCAGGTCCGAAAACCACTGGAAGCAGTGGACACATCCGTAGCGTGCCGGCCCCGTGGTTCCAGACCTCCCAGACCTCAGACAGCTGTCGAGCGAGGTCTCGCGGATTGCTGCGAGTACCGCCGCCACATCTCTCAGGTCGTCATTCTGTCAATAATATCCTGCATGAGTTCCTCACTTTCATCCTTTCACATGATTGTACTAAGTCTTATAATTAGACAGATATGATTGGTATGATGTTGATTCATTGTTTTTCTATGTGCATCATTTCACATTCATCAGTTCCCTAAGAATCCGAACGGGCCTTCCATGGCAGGGCTCGGACCGGACCCTCGCCCGAGGGGAAAACGGGCCCGGTAACCAAACCTGTGTTGCAAACAGGGTCCGGAGTCTTAGGGATATATATGTTAAACCAAGAGAGGTAGCCAGTGACCGGGACCATAGGACCCGTCACCTCTGACTTACCCTGGGATAGTCGAACGTTCCGGTCCTTGGAAATTGAAGATCCATCAGAAAGATTGAAGAACATAACGGTGTCCTCGTGTTGGAGTTGACCCGGAGACGTCTCCTACATCGAAAACCTTGTTCAACTGGCAGGAGAGAAAGCTTCGAAGGGAAGCGCCCAAATCCCCGTCCAGGTCAAGCCCAAACCACCACCTGTATGAGGCTGGCGTACCATTATGTCTGTGTTTTCTATATATATATATACTATATATATATATATATGTACCTGGCGCTTCCAATGGGTTTCCAATGGTGACCTATAAGCAGTATAGCGTTGTCCATGGGAAGCAGCTGGTCGTTTTTAGTTCTGTCAGGGTCGATGTAGGTCTCTATAGTATCTACCAGGGGCCCCCACAGATCATCAAAAGACCAGGTGTTCCCTAGCAAAAAACATGGTTTTTGTATGTCGAAAACCTTTGTTTTTTCCTATTTTTTTCATGGTTTGCTTCGGGCCCCCCTGCTAGACACACCGAAAGGCTCCCTTCGACGTCTTCCGAGTCCTTCAGCCAGGCTCCACTCGGTTTAAGCATGGTCTTGCAAGGCTGGCAACCTGCTCTCACCTCGGCTATCGCTATCCTCTGATTGATCATCCCTTCTTCTATCGCCTTCCTTTATCACCTGCCTGCTCACTCTTGGGGCTACAAACCGCCCCCCTCCGCAGCCCAAATGAGCCACCGTTCACGCCCGAGGCCCTGGCAGCCGCCGGGCCGTCTGCTGGGGAATCGTCTTGAGCGACGGCCAACTTAGCCGACTCTTCCGGAGGATCTCCTCGAGACGAGACGTTTCCGGGATGGTTCGATCGGCCCTTCGTCCAGGGGTCTCACCGTTGGTGAGCCACTGAACGTCACGGGTAGGGCGGGGAGGAATAAAAGCTGGGCTGCCAAGTGGGCCAACCCTCTCTGCCGACTCTTGCTCAACCCCCCTCAAAAAATTATACCAGCATAGACCCCAAACAGCTTCAAAACGATTCGCTTAGACCAATATTAGTCAAAAAACGATTTCTTGGCACGCCCTACCTTCACCCCAAGAGCAAACTGTTTCATCAATGAATTTTTGTCGGCATTGACATCGCTATTTGTTCGGCCACACTCCTCTCCAGTAAGCCGGGCCACAGGGACCAGCCACAGAGCCAAGACAAGGACAAGAGGAGGACAAGGCCCAGCCACAGAGCCCAGCCACAGAGCTCAGCCACAGAGTTCAGGGGCGCGGCCAGTGAGTGTGGCCAGCTCTTTTTTTTCTAAGATAGAACCCCAACAGTAAACTGTTTGGGGAAAAAGGAAGAGCCCTCGCCATCCACGTCGGTTGACCAACCATGCGGGGTCCTTGACTTCGGGCCACTCCAGTGGAGCTCTTTGCTTCGCCTTGCGAGGTCTGGGTCTATACCAGGAGTCGCATGGAGTTGGGTGGTGTTTAGTCCCATCCAGGGGCCGTGGATCATAGACACCCCGAACCTCCTTCAATAAGCACCCCGTCTTGTGCCTGGTATATTGGCTGTTTTTGGGAGGTTAGGAAGAAATGAATATAGAAATAGCTTAAATTTGTAAGACATCTGACATCTCTTAAACATTATTAAACATCTATGCTCGACGTCGGTATGGTGATACAACTGTACCTGGAGGTGACCTGGAATCGACCGGTCAGAAGATGAAGAGAAAAGAGAAAGTCATGCTGCATGCTTAGCTGTTGTCCTTCAGATTCTTTCGGGTTCCATTTTCTCAGGCACATCGTTCTGTGTTGGGTCTCAGGTGAACTCAGGTGAGCTAGTGCATCTGTCCGTCAATGTCGCCCATCTCCGTAGCTAGCCTAGGAGTCCACTCAAGTCCGTCCGTATCGGCACCGCCTTACAAAAGGTGTGCTTCCGAACTTCCGCACTTTGGGGTGGCATACCATCTCAGGACGGACTGCATGGCCGGTGCCGTCCGGACGTCGCCGTCCGGACCCGTGGCGGACGGGTCCGGACGCCTAACGTGGGATCACCGAGCCAATTCGCACGGAGGATCATGGCTTACCCAGTGCATCCCAGGCAGTTCGCACGTCTATAAATATAATAAGGAACCAGGGATTCGGAACCGGTCTACGGTTTGAGTCACGACGGGACTCCCAGCGACATCGTGGGAACTGCATAGATGCACTGGCTTAGATCGGCTGGGACCTGGGACCCCACCGTGGCTGTGGCCGTTGTATGAACGCTTCTGGTCAGATCCATGGGCACCGATTGCTTGCCACCCCATCGATGGAACGGAGGGACCCAGGATGTCCGAGGGCTTTCTCAGCCAAGCCGAGCAGAAGCGACGTGCATGTTTGAACTGCAGAGATCTCTCAACAATTGACCGCACCGAATCCTGTTCGCCTTCAGCTTGACTTATTCCAAAACTGGGAAGGATCTCAGGATCTCGTGGCATGTCGTGCAAAATCTTTAGTAAAACAGCCCAGTTCTTCGGGATTCAGACCATGAAAAAAACCTGGCGGGGAATCGCCCTGAATCCACCCTTTCGGGTCATCCCCATCACCGTGACCGATTTGGCGCGCGCCGCCTTCGTGCCCGGTTCCAACAGCGTCTGCAAATGGCCGTTTCTGGCGCAGCGGTCCGCGGCGTCCGTCCGCAGTCGGGGAGGCGGTCTGCAATTTCTATAGCAAGATAGAAAGCAACAAAACAAGTCTGTTTCTGCTCAAGTATACTTTAAACATGAACATCCTTGGTGTCTGCCATCGGCAGTTTTGCTCCAAGTGAGGCGTCGAATCCTACTAGTACAGCACACAATCAGAACATAGATGGTTTGTGTTCGCATGAATCAGAAAATCAGAAAAATAGTACAACACAGAATCAGAACAATCAGAAAAAAAAGAACTAGACGACGAGTGGCCCGAAAGCATTTTTCATCACGTAGGAAATCAGAGTGCGAGTTATCCGGTAAGTGTGTAGTGAGAAGTGTTAAGTCGAGTGAGTTGAGGTAGTGTGTGGGTTTCTGTGCGTGTGTCTATGTCCGTGTGGAAACGAGTCTGCGTATGTGTGTGTTCGTGGAAGTTGAGGGAGTGTGTGGGTGTTTGTGTGCGATGCGGCCTCCCAAACCCCCCACCGGCGGCCAAGCGGTGGCAGCCCAGCTCATCGTCGTGAGCATTTGGGCTGCTGGTAAGGGGACAATGGCAGCCAGCGTGCTGGCTTACACACTTCAACTATGATGGCAGCCAGCGTGCTGGCTTTGCCATCTGGACAATGG